TAGATGGTGACAGGAGGAAATTTAACTTTGGGTGGTGAACACACAATGCAATATACATATGATGTATTATTGAATTGTACACTTGAAACCAATAAAATTTTATTAACCAATACCACTCTAAAAAATGTAATAAAAAAGATAAATAAAATGTTATCATTTGGAAGACATGTCTTAATTTGAAAAGTATAAAAATGTGAAAAAGAGCGTGTGTTAAAATTGATGTAATGCAATATAATATGAAGCATAATCCAATCGTCTGGAAGACTGTTTCGGAAATTCTTTCAAAAACACTTTCTACTATTTCTTGAAGAAGAAACTTTTTTTTAAATTTTAGATGCAATAATTTAAAAAATTTTGTCCTATTTCACAAGATTGGAAACATCACCTCAAATTAATTCACTTTGAAATTTCTTATATGTATAATAGAATAAAGTATTTGGTTTGGGGGTTACCCTTAAAACAATTTAAAAAATAAAGAGAACTTCAGTGGAAATATAAAAGATACACATTTTATTAATTAATTAATTTAAAAGACAATCGACTTTTCTAAATTATAAAAATATGTTACTATGATTGTGGTAATCATTTCACAATGTATTCATATGTCAAAATAGCAAGTTGCACATCTTAAATATGTACAATTTTTATTTGTCAATTATATCTTAATAAAGATGTTAAAATTTTTTTAAATAAATAATTTATAAAAATATGACCACGATACACAAAAGATAAAGACAGTAAAGAGAATTATATGGTTCCAAAGTTTTTATAACCTACTAAAGTAGTATAAAAATAGTTAATATAATTTTATATATGTTCATTGTATACTAAAGTAATAAACTATTTTAGCTGTTTTAGAGTTATTTCTAAAATGAGTTATTTCTAAAATATAGAAGTATAAAAAGAGTTATTTGGAGTTATTTCTAAAATATAGAAGTATAAAAAGCCAATAGAGAGGATCAAAATGGAATATTAAAAGTATTTTTATTCCAAAAAATGTAAGGTAGTAAAAGCAACGAAGAGAGTTACATAGAAAATAAATTTTAATGTAGTGGAATTAAACCCAAGTATACTAATAGCTACACTAAAAACAAATGGACTAAACATTCCAATTCAAAGACAGAAATCATTAGAATAAGAAAGAAAAATTCCCTAAGTATTTTTTGTTTGTTATAAACAAGATGGATGTTACACAATAAAGGCACTGACAAGACAAAATTAAAGAGTAAAAAAGTTATAACCTGAAAACACTCATCACAAGAATGATGAAGTTGCTATGTGAATATTAGTAATACAAGAGATACAATAAAAGTGTCTCATCATTAAGACAAAGTAACACTAAACCTATGTAATAATATATTTCAAAAATATATGCAACCTAAACTGATAAAATTATATATCTTGAATTTTTCAGATCTTGATAGCCTTATTATTTTCTGAGTCTTATATTTATTTTACATCTGCATGTCTACACAAAACTCATTTGCAAATCTTGGTCTTCTTAGAGCATTCTTGGTGGGTTAAACATTTGAATCAACACGGGGTACTGTGAGTCTGTCTCTAGAGGCTGAATTTACTAAAGATGAACTCAAGTCACCATGTTACATAGCTCCCTAGTCTTAATATATTTGTGCATAGTCCTGGACTAGTCTTGTTTCTCTCCATTTTTATGTCTCCTTTGTGTATAATTCAAGAACTGTCGAACCTTCCAAAACCCGATGGGACTCCTGAGCATCATAATATCCCATTACAAGGCAGTCATAGCTGCCAGTTTGTCTACAGAGGTCTCAATGCTCCCAAAGCTGTCTCTTGTCATATATTTCAACCATTCCTAGGTAAGTTGCTTTGTCTGGACAATGCAATGAAAAACAATCATTTGCAGATTTGCAGAGAGGAGCGATTCATGTAATTATGTGAGGTATTACTTGAGAAAAAGCAGGTACAAGTCAAGTGGGGAAGGAAGATTTCTAGATTAAGAAATAAATACATATTTATAAGAGACATAAGTAGTATTTAAGTAATGTGATTTGGTACTAGAAAATAAGAAAGAAATATTGTCAGAATTTTTAAAAAGTGCTAATTATATTATCTTCCTTTTTAATGCAAGAATCTAAGAAGTTCCTATAACAGAGTGGTTTCTGGTTGTATAAGTCATGGTAGTCACACTGTTCAAAGAATATATCCTACGAAAGAAATTGAAGAAAACCAAGAGTAGAAAATGATGATGGAGATGCTGTCCATCTCTGGAGGGCCAGAAGCCTGAGCTGGAGGATAGTATACTAACAGATAGTATAGAAAACAGCATGTGTTTTACTAGCACCATGTTCTCTGAAGTGGCAGATTGCAGGCAAGGGACTGTGCTCACTGACCTAGATGTAAGTAAAATGTCAATCTCCCTGTGGCAGAAGGAACACTATTTCTGTGTTTCAGAACCAGATTCAATGACAGAGCAAGGGAAAACTAAGAAGGTATGGGCAGGTGTTCTAATTTCCCTGGCCAATGTCTGATCGATTTTATTCAAAATAGGCCTAGGATCGAGAAGACTGTCTAGCAGGCCAAACTCTTGGAGTTTTTCTCTGCAGTTCCCTCCCTGTGTTACACATTTAAGTGACCCAAGAGTCTGGTCTCTCTTTAAGTCAAAACTACTTAATCACTTTTTTTTTTTTTTTTAGTATTACCCCATAAATACATTTATTGACAACTAAAGGCATAAATTTGTCGATAAGTAAATGTTTGTATCACAAAGCAATTAAGCTTATTTTTTATCCTAAGCAATTTTCTTAGAGAGAAATCATGTTTATATATACCTATGTATATCAGTTTGCTTTCTGTATACCTGGTTCTCTGCCAGTCTCTTGAGTTTTTGTTTTTTCCAAAAGGAGGAAAAATCATGGAACATGGACAAACCAATAAATATATCAAGTCCTCTTTTTAATAAGCGTAAAAACCTTCCACATTTTAATTGTTCAATATTCTTAATTTCTTGCCCAAGTTCTTATCTCTATCTGGGTTTATAGGACTTACCTCTGTTGTAGTGATTCCCTAACTCTGGGTTTCTATATTATGGATAAGGTTTAAAATTTGAAATCTTCTAAAATGTTTTTAATGACTAATTTAAATTTGAATTCTCAGCTTCTTACAGGGAAACACCTCTAATATTTACTTACATAGGCCTAGAGTAGTATATTTTAATAGGGGAATGCACATATCATAACCAGAAAGTTTTTCCCTACGCAGATAGTATTTGGAACTTCAAAGAGGAATTATCAATAGGAAAATGTAGTAGTATTTTTCAAGCTTTCATATCTGGTTTTCAAGATCAAGAACCTAGATATTGGAGGCAACTAGAATTTTTTTGAAGGCATGTTATGAAGACTTGGGTGTACATTTCAGAATTATACTAGGAGGAGACTGCATCTTAGGAAGGTTATCGGACAATTATCAGAACAATAGGACAAGGTCAGGGCAAGAACCACTGGAAGATATTTGTGGTAATGACACCTGGAGAACTGGATTGTGGTTGCTTTGCAGAATAGAAACTGAAGCCAGAGGCAAGGCAAGGACTCAAAGGTGGGCAGAAAACCAAACAGGCTTATATTTTCCTGTTAGCTGCAAATACAATTATTTACAACAATGTTTGAATTATCCGAAACAATGAAGAAATAAAATTTTTAAAAGATTGTGGGGGCAGGTAATTTATTTGCATCTTTTTCTTCACTTGACATGTTAAATTAATTTGCATATAAATCTTTTAAAACTAATTATGTATGGTAACTTTATAGATGTTGAATAAAATTAACTCTTCTTGGATGAACCAGAAAAAAGAAGCGTAAAAACCTTCCACATTTTATTTGTTCAGTATTCTTAATTTCTTGCCCAAGTTCTTATCTCTATCTAATATATGATTTAAAACATAATATATGATTAACAAAATTGAATGAATTAATAAATTTAGTTGCACATATAGTTATTTTTGAATTACGTAGAAAAGGGCAAATTGTGAAAATATAACTATTACAAAAAAACTGTGTATAGAGAATATGCATTTAAAATTCTAACGGATGATTTGCATTATTCTGTTGTTTTCAGTGACTATTCAGTGAAGAATACTCACTGAAAACAACAGAATAATGCAAATATTCTGTTGTTAGTGTATTACGCTATCTTCTGATTATCTTTAAGAACTTTTCTGAAATAAGAATACGTTCATCAGGAGTGAGAGTAAGAGATTATTATTTTTAATGATCACAAGAATTTGGTTACATTTATGGTACTTAAATTTTTTATCCTTCATTCCCGATTTTTTGGTAATTTGTCTGTGGACTAGTATATAGTTAAAATTACAATTGCCTTCTGTATAATCTGCTAATTATTGTATACATGCCTGTATGTGTGTGTGTGTATTACTGCATATATTTCCACACTTGATAAAAAATTCCCTGCGAACAGTGGCTTTTTGCCTTCTTAAGACTCTGTATATCACACAAACCAAAAAAGTCCTAGGCGCACCGACGTGCACGTGCACACACACACACACACAAACACACACACATGTCCTAGGCGCACACACGCGCGCGCGCGCACACACACACACACACACACACACACACAAACAGATTTCGTAACAGCCTTCTTACTTATCCAGTAATAAAAATGATAGAGTAGAATAGAATAAAACTACAAGGGAGAAGTTTTTTAAAGAACTTAATTCAATCTTCTTATTTGCAGATGAAGATGTTAGGATTTAGAATGGTGAAGTGATTTACCCAAGGGCTTATGGAAGTTTTAGAGAAGAGCCACCTCTTTAGAAAGATTATTAATACAGAATGTCTGGACTCTCCATATACAGGACTGTGGAAGAATCACTCTGTCATCCAGATTTCTGCTCATAGGAGATTTGACTGGCTATTTTGTATCTGAGTATGGAAACTCTCCAGTTTTAACATGGCAGACAATGTTACACATAGCTACATTTCATCTTTCTTCCTAGTTGGTATTCCTGGTTTGCAAGATTTTCACTGCTGGATTGGTATCTCTGTCTGCCTCCTGTTTTCCCTGACCCTGCTGGGGAACAGTGTAATCATTGTAACCATTAAACTGGAGCCAAGCCTCCACCAGCCTATGTATTTCTTCCTTTGCATGCTGGCAATGAATGACATGGCTCTTGCCTCTTCCACAGCCCCCAAGATGCTTGGCATCTTCTGGTTGGAAGCTCACAGTTTTGAGTTTAATATCTGCCTAGCACAAATGTATTTCATCCACACGTTCTGCATAATTGAGTCAGCTCTTTTAGTTGCCATGGCCTTTGATCGCTATGTAGCTATTTGCATCCCACTGCATTATACGACTATCCTGACAACACCAATGGTCATTAAAATGGGTCTGGGTGGTGTGACCCGAGCTGTCCTTATGGTTTTACCTTGTCCGCTTCTCATTAAGAGGCTACCATACTATACTAAATATGTCATCAATCACACCTATTGTGAGCACATGGCTGTGGTGAAGCTGGCCAGTGCCAACACTCTCATTAACAGAGCATATGGAATCTCGGTAGCCCTTTCAGTGATGATATTGGACCTAGGGCTCATAGCGACATCCTATATCAAAATCCTCCAGGCAGTCTTCCGGCTCTCTTCCCAGAATGCTCGCTCTAAGGCACTGGGCACCTGTGCTGCCCATGTCTGCACTATACTTGTCTCCTACACACCTGCACTGTTTAGTTTCCTAACTCACCGCATTGGCAAGAAGGTACCTCCAAGCATCCACATAATTTTTGCAAGTTTGTACCTTTTGGTTCCTCCCACAGTCAATCCCCTGGTATATGGTGTGAAGACCAAGCAGATTCGGGACCGAGTGGTGGGTCTCTTCTTCCCAAACAGGAAAATTTCTGAAAACTGAAATATGGAAATACAAACTCACATTGCTAGAATCTGTTTCATGAAGTCCTGGTGTGTTAACAAAGGTTGCAACCTTGTCCCTAACATGCTCTTCCTTGATTCAGCTATGTCATTTAACAGAGATATTTGATGCTGTGCATTTACTTTTTTTTTCTTTTAGAAATAAAGGAATGTCTCCTGATTGGAAACTTTCAACAAATGTTAGCAACAATTGTTATCTATTGCTGACTTTATTTCATATTCTGTATTTATTGATTGTATATTTAATATCCAGAAATGTGGAATGACTAGGCTAATTACTATCGCACACACTAAAACTGAATACAACAGACAATAGAATTTATAAAAACAGTTTTCTTTCCATTTTTATCTTTTACATGCTTGTTTAAAAATTCTCAAGTAAAAATTATTTTCAAGTTTCTTTTCACATATTATTATAGTAATGATAATGCCTTAGCATTCAAATCATGATCATTGTTTGTTTGTCTGTTTACTAAGCACTTTACACTTCCCAAGGAGCAAACTGTTAGTCCACAAAACTATACTGTGAGATACGTGTTGATTATTCTCATTATGTCATTTAGTAAATTGACACACAGAGAGGTTATGTAATTTTCACAAGATGAAACTCACCTAGAAAATGGCAATGTAGAATTTGACCCCAGGGATTCTGGCTTCAGAATACATGCTTTTTATCATGGTATACTGTTCACCATGATGGAAGTCTTACACTTATTATTCACTTCAAAAAATAGAAGTTTATTTTTTAAACATTTTACATTTTATTCTCCTACATGTGATCTTTTAAAAGATACTATGGTAAACTTCTTGAGTCTCCCTCAAATCCTCTGTATCTGATACATTTTATTATAATGTTCAGGAATTGCTTCTATTTTCCTAGATAAATGTCCAATCAATGCCACCTTGTAACATTACGACTATGATTTCCAAATTGGTATAAAATTTCCAGAGTTTGAAAATTCTACTTATTAACATGCAGTTTCTTTTTCTTTTTTTAATTTTAGAGAAAAAAAATTTGGTCGCATTCATTAAGTGCGGCAATTGAAAACAATTCTTTCCTTAATTAATGATATTAATTTTATTATGCATGGAGTACAGAGGACACTACTTTGGGCATATTTAGAAATGCTCTGTGAAAAACACTCTTTTATTTTTAGTACATTTCATTGGATGAAGATTCATTGAGTTGGAAATTGTTGATTGTTGACCAAGGTTGATACACATTTTCCAAGTATTTAATGGGTGTTTGCGTGTTTTCAAATGAGTTAGCTCTGCAAAACTTTGGCTTTTTCCGTATTTTGGCTAAAGCTGTGTTCCTATTTGTTGATAACTATATATGTGTTTTATTAACTTTTGTGTGTATTATATTGTAAATAGTTGTGTTTCCTTACAATAATACAAGCCTTCCATTCATTCAAAGGGTATATATTAAGTGATTCTATCAGATATTTTACAGCTAGAACTGTAAGGAGAGAAAAGTCAAGTTCAAACACTACTTTCATCACTAATTGCTGGGCGAGTTTCATTTTTAAGTTTATAAATTCTGAATTTCATTATTGATTACATATAGAAAAAAGTCTTTACATTTTACAGTGTCAGGGTAGGATTAAATGAAATAATGAATGGAACACAAGTATCACAATATTCAACAAACTCTTCTTCCATATATACCAGTGTCAGTGCCATGATAGGCATTGGAAATATGAAGAACAATTAGCAAAAGTATTTTTTCTAAATGCCTAAATAGAGCTCTCAAGTGGATATCTCACTTGGAAATCCTGTTTCTTTATTTAACATGTCCAAAAGTGAACATTTTGCACTTATTTACCCACCTACACCACCCTGTAAAATATCTTATCTCAGTGAATAATATGCCAAGTCACTGAAATCAGCAACGGAGAATCAGTGTCATAGAGTATTTATTGTCAAATATATGCCAGAAATATAAGAGAAACTAAGTGGTAAAAAAATGTTAAATAATTAAGTAGAAAGGAAAAAAAAAAATCCAGCATCTATCCCAGATAACGTAGAAAATCATAAATTCAATGCAATATAGTTTAAAATTATGTAGATGATTATGGAACACCAAAAATAATACTGTATCTTAGAAAAATTCTAGTTAAGGCATATTGGAAGAGATGCCAAGAGAAGGCTAAGTTGATAAAATTACCAGGTAACAGGGCAAAGATTTCCAAGTGGAGGTAACATCACAATAAAAGTGAACAGACATAGGAAGAAAAGTGAAAATACATCTAGAAAAAGTAATGTCATAAAAATAAAAAAACAAATCTTCAAAGAAAAACATATAATTAGAAAAGCAGCAGGGACATCTAATAAGGAAAAATCTACTTTGTGGCACTATGAGGTTCATTGGTCACCTTGGGAACTAAAGGACGGTCAGGACAATGGGAATGGTGAAATGCCCATACAATCTTGTATGTAATTAATAAATTTAGCTATAGGTGACACATCTAATCTAAAACCTGAACTTATTTAACTGTGGCTACACTTTATTTTGTACTTATAGAATCTAACGTTACTCTTGATCAGCCACAGAGAATATGGATATGCCAGGTTCATGGAACAATTTATAGCACACAGGCTAAATACAGCTTGCTGCTTTTTCCTGTAAATAAAATTTTATTGGAGCACCACTATATCCATTAATTTATGTATTGTTTATGGAACATTTGTCCTATACAGTAAGTTCTCACTTAACGTTGTTGATAAGTTCTGAAACTTTAAGTTAAACAACATGTAATTAAGCCAATTTTAACCATAGGCTGATTGACATAAACCAGAGTTAAGTTCACATGTCATCTCACCAACCTTATAAGAAAACGACATTGAATGAAATGGCAGTATTTGAAGACCTGCTGTAGTGATAATTAGGACAGAGATCACATGAACATAAGAAGTTAAAGTATTTACTCTGTCCCTTTACAAATCATTTGTCCACAGATGAATAGGATAAAGATGAACAGGATAAAAATCATGAGATTTTGGAGAGTAATAAATTTCTGTTGTATTTATATTATGCATTTAAAAAAAAACACAGAAATTTATAGCATAGAGTGGATCTTAAATTAAATATTATTGTTTAGAATGTTGGAGGATTACTAGAGGATTACAGACTGTAATAAAAAAAGAAATCTAGCTGTATTGCAGATGTATGATATAACTTCACTAAGAGGGTAGTAGGAAAAGGTATTGACTGACCTAAGTAACTTTGGAAATATGTAGAGCATAGAAACAACGGCAAAAGAGACTGTTTATAAACCCTTTAGTTGATAAAGTTTTTCTCACAGGAGTAATGATTCACAAATCCTACAGGGCTTTCCAAGTATACTAGAAATTAACAATTAAATAAATGAGTGACAGATGGTTGAAGCCAGTTTTTCACTCATGGAGGAGGAATTTTCTGATAAGCAAGAAGAGGCTAGAAAGATTCAAATTGTAATAAATTAAAGTGGCAGATATTAGTAAAAACTGAAAATTAGCTTAATTTAGATACAAGTGGTTACACATAGAAATATTTATGAATATGTGTGTATACATGGGTTAGCACACACACAAAATTCCTTGCTCTGTCAGATGAAAGAACCTAAAAGAAAGACACACGAGTAGCAATGAGCATACCTATATCATGATTCAGGAAATATCCAAAATGAGCCTGGAGCGATTTATAATGTTATAAAATAAGAAATGCTACACATACACACATACACATACACACGGAGGCACACACATAAAATGAGATGTATGTCTGAGAGGAAAATAAGCCAAATGAATGAGCTCAAAATGGTCAACTTGTGCAATAAAACAAAGTAACATTGGATTATAACCCAAATTATAATGAAAATGTTAATAAATTCATACTGATATAAATAAATGATTGAATAAATTTTAAAAATGGGAATAATATTGCCATCTGCCATGTAGTAGAATTCCAAATAATTTATTAAAATATAGCTACACCTTGATCGAGGAGGAGAACATAAATTCCTACTCCTTAAATATGGATTGCATATAGTGACTTTCCTCCAAAAAACAATAAATTTACAGTGAAGAAATCTGACAAATACTACTTTAGACAAGTAATCAAGGTCAGACAACTCATGTATGCACCCTTGATATATGATCACAATGACACTGTAACATCTATGGTCTTCCTCCCCAAAATAAATAATTTCAATCTAATTATGCTAATAACATCAGTAGTCCAGTAATATTTCAGCTGGTGTTTGATGAGGATGAGACATGGAGCCATAAGGAGAGCTGCTCTGGGTGTCACTCCAACACCAATCTGTGTGAGAAGTTAGCGAATGAAAATGCTTACATGTCTCAGAGGATCACAGATTGCCACGTAGCGGTCCAGGGCCATGGCCAGCAGAATACCTGACTCAATACACTGGAAGATATGGATGATACACGAGCTCTTATACATTATGATTCAGTTAAATTCAATATTCTTTCACTGAGCACTTCTTATACAAAAGACATCATGCCAGGGGCTGAGTAAACATACATTAAATCTGCAGAACTTACCTGCGGCCCAAAATCAGACTGTATTCTTTTTGACTTCTTTATATTGCAGCTCAATTTTCCCAACAGAACATTTGGCCCTGAACCTAGATTATACCATACATTCGGATCCCATGCCTTTAACTTAAAAATGTTGTTGATCTTTAACATAAACACCAAACATTAGCTTGTTTTTTCTCATTTATAATCATGAATTTTGATAGAAATTATTCAAATGAGTCAATTTCTGGTTCTTTGGTCCCTTGCTTTTGCAAAGCTAATTCTACCCCCAAGAAACTACAAACAGAATGTAAATATATAAAGCCATCTATACAAGTCATCCCCTTGTTTATTTAATTTTAACACATACAAAATACTAAATCTAAATGCATCTTCCTATGAAAGGAGGTGAAATATACATATACGCAAAAGGTTAATGATTTCTTTCAAGATTAT